CAAAAAAAAAAAATTCCTACCATTTTTTTTACTTTTATGTTAAATTTCAAAATATTTATTTAAAAAAGTATCAATTTTTTAAAATAATATTATATCATAATATAAATTATTTATCATAAATATAAAATATATTTTATATCATAAAAATATTTATTTATTACAAATTTTAATTTTAATACAATTTATATATTTCAAAATAGTTTACCAAACTAGATCTTCTGAGAAAAATTAGAGAGGATGGAGATAATCTAGGAAAGGATCCATATGCATATCCATAGTTTTATTTTATGGCATGTTTGGAGACCATTTTAAATACAACATGAAATGAAAAATTAAGTGATAGTGGAATACAAGCCTCCAAGACGTGTTTCCAAACACACATTATGGACCAATTAAATATCTATATTGTTATGACTTTTTATTTATTATTATAAAAGTCAATAATTAGATGATATTGAAGAGAGAGAAAAAAAACAAAAAAGAAACTTAGAAGATGAACATTAACACATTTGAATATAGGTTCAGACGCGTTTTTAGTTATTTTTACTAGAAAAATTCTGTAAAAAAAACATAAATTATATTCTAATTAACGTGTGGTTTAACGGTAGGGGTTGATCTACGCTTAAACAAAGTCCTGTCTTATTTTTTAGGTCCCTCAAGGAGATTAATGACTGTTATCGATCCTGAAAACTTCAGGACGAACCAAAAAATTATATTCTAATTATAAAAAAAGAAGAAGAAGATGAAGAAAAGAACCTTAGGACTTGCTCGAGAGTGAGTCTACCATGGTTGCGTTGCATCTCAGAGTGAATGGAACCGTAACACCTATCCATGAGAAGCCACAATCCATCATGACCAACTCTGACAGCCCCGTGAAAGGCGCACACATTCCTACACCACATGGAAGCCCTCCGCAACCACTCAAGCCTCTCCATCACCCACTCCACCTCCTCCACCGCCTCCACCTTCTTCACCGCCACCTTCTTCCCGCCCCTCACCGCCGTCCACGTCCTCCCCTCCCCAATCCGCCGCCCCACCCTCAATCCCCCACCGCCCCGCCGCTCCTCCTCCTCCTCCTCCTCCTCCTCCTCGTCGGTGTAGTCGAAATCGAAGTCCAGCACGGACCTCACGGCGTTAGCCGAGGGCGGGCGGAGGAGCGCCAGGACGGGGAAGTTCTTGGGGAGGGCGTGGACGGAGTTTCCGACGCGGGACACGTGGCGGCAGCGGGGACACGTGAGCGTGGTGTCCGTTGACGCGGAGAACATTCTGGAAAGGCACTCTCGACAGAAGCCGTGGCCGCATTGGAGAAGAAGTGGGACCCGTTGCTCCTCGTCGTACCGCGTTTGACACACGGAACAGCACGGAACCTTGCTCTTCATCGAACCGGACGGAACCGTAGGAACGGAAATAGAGGAAAACACCGAGACAAAGAAAGTGAATGAGAAACCCAGTTAGTTTGTGTTGTTTGTTTCTTTGTTTGCGTCAAAGAGGAGATGCTGTGTTTTTTTTCTTTTCCCCCCCTATTTTCTGCTTATGGATAGTTTATTTTGGATGCATTTCAAGAGTTTTTCTCCCACTAACCAGAACATGTTTTTTTAGTAATTATTTATTTTCCTCAAATTTAAAATTATTATTTTTAATTCTTATAATTTTAAAAAAATATTATTTTAATTTTTATATTTAAATTTTGTTAAAAAATTTATCAAATATTAATACATAAAATTTATTTATTAGTGTTTTTATTAATAAAAATATCGTAATAAATTTAATTGATATGCATAATCGTCTTAATTTGTTACTTTTATATATATTCTTCTTAATTTGTCACTTTTATATATATTCTTAGTAGCATAAATTATAGAGACTAAAAAATAATTGTTTTAAATTTAAGAAAAAAAATAAATTTATCTTAAATTTAAGGAAATAAAAATATATTTAAATTTTTATATAACTATATAAATCATGCTTAAATCTATTAACACAGCATTCGGAATTAAAATGTGCTCGTGAATGAGACAGTTATTTAGTCTTGCTAATTGCCAATTAAATTATTGGATACTTATGAAATAAGAACTTTGACAAAACCCAAAGGCAATTGGTAATTTCTCATTTGTTTTTCTGCAGGGTTTCCGAATTTCAACTTTAATTTCGTGGATTGGCTAAGCTGCTAAGGTGGGTAGAAGTTGACTTTGAATTTTGTGAGTTTGAAAGCATTGGTTTTCTTTCCCATTTAATTTTGATTTTGATGGACCCAATATTTATTACATCTAGTTTGCTTTAAAAAGATAATATTTTTGCAGATAAATTTTGTATCTGTTATTGGTCCATAGAATTTCATATTATCAGTTAATTAAAAATATTTTTAATATAAATTTTAAAATAATTATTATATAAATTAATAATTTTTTTATTTATAACGATGTAGTATCAAACCACTGGAGTATATTAATCAATAAATTATTGTAACGATCTACTTTCCAAAAAAAAAAAAATTCTTTCAAAAAATATTTTTTTAAAAGAAAAAAATTACACTTCAAAAAAATAAAGATAAACAAATTTACTCTTTTAAAAAGTATTTTTTAATTAGAAGTATAATTTTTTGGTTCCAAAAAATATTTTTCGGAATATACAGAATATACTTTTGAAAAAAAAAATACACTTTCAAAAAATATATTTAGAAAATAAATTTACACTTCCAAAAGTATGTTTCAAAAGACAAAAATATACTTCGAAAAGATAAATAAATTTACTCTTCGGGAAAGTACTATCCAAAAGTATATTTTTTTCTTCTAGAAAATACTTTTCAATACACTACTAGAAAGATTATATTTTAAGTCGATTATTTTGTCATATCTACATCAGTTCTAAAATCGACTTAGATGAGGGTGACGTAGATGAATGATATTTATGTATGTGTTGATCTAAGTCAGTTTTCAACAAAAACTATCTTAGATGTACACATATATTTAAGTCGATTTTTGCGTAGAACCGTTGTAGATTATATTTTTTTTTAACTAGGCTAATTTTTAAAATAAAATTGACTCCATTATAAATAATATGTAAAAAGTGATTCAATAAAATTGATCCAATTATCCAATGTAAGAGAAGCCACATCAAAATCAAACATGAACCAAGAGAGGCCAATTTGGGATCCTTATCATTATAGAAATGGCTTAGTCATCATTATCATTATATAATAAATAATACTAAAGAAGCCATATACTCAAAAATCAATAAAGGCCAATCTGGGATCCATAAAGAAGAGTTTTTTCTTACAAGGAGAAGAGAAGCTCAAAAAAATTAGGTCATACTACATTAAACATGTACTTAGCCATCTAATGCTAAAGCCACATTCACCTATTTGTAAATTTTACATGTAATACTAAACCTTTCAACATGATCTATTTCTAAATTTTTCTAAAAAGAAATTTTCCCAATGAATCCGAATGTCTTCCAATTTGGTTTCCTCCAATGGTGTAGCATCTTCAAAAAGTTGCAACATATATACATCATATATTAGTTACATCATAATAAGCATTAAAAGAAATTAATAATATTTTTAAATGTACTTCACTCTAACCATTTGTTACTCCCCCTTCAATTATTTCTGACATCCAATTCATGACATAGTATCCACATTTGTAATGTCCTTGTTGTTTATAACTCTAAAATGAATACCAAATTGAGTAGTATAAGTAGTTTTTTTTTAATTAAGGTAATAAAAGACATTTGTTAGGCACATTGACTTTAATTACAAACCACTTACTTACCATGGGGTAAATCCATTCTAAGGTCTTTGATAGTGCAATAGATCTACCATTCATGACATTATAACACTAAGCCTATCACACATCCTATCTATGAATACATGCATAACTGTCATACAACACAGCAAAATCTAATCCCAATCTTCCCTAAGTGCACACTTCCAAAAGAATTGTCAAAGGGAAAAAGATTATTCAAACCTATTATTTTGGTACTCTAGTGGCACCTCCAATCAACTCCGATGCATATCTATTCCAATGACAGGCTAGAATGCTCAAGCACCTCTTTCATAGGTGAAAGTAATTTTTCCCAAATGTCTTCACAAAGCTCTTCAAATTTCTCACGAGTTATTGTGCTCCTGTAAAAAAAAAAGTCATGAATGAAGAACCCCAATGCCCAATCTATCTCCAGAAGAAACAACCAGTTAACCTAAACAACATCAATACCTTTTTGTTCCTTCACGATTGCAAAGGGAATGCTGAGTGTTGTTATATCTCAAAGAGTCATCACTGAGAGTTGAAAGAGACAATGATGACTATGGGTGAGAATAGAGAGAAGACGACTTTGAGAGCTTCCAAGAATGTGGAGAGAACACGAGGGTTGCGGGTAGGAGACTGAAGGGCATCATCGTTGAGAGTTGCGGGAGACGACGACAATTGTGGGTGAGAATAGAGAGAGAAGATGGCGTTGAGAGCTTTCGAGAAGGTGGAGAGAACACGAAGGCTACGGGTGAGAGACTGAAGGGTGTCATCATTGAGAGTTGCGAGAGACGATGATGGCTATGTTTGAGAACAGAGAGAGAAGACAACATTGAGAGCTTGCGAGAATGTGGAGCGAACACGAGGGCAGCGAGTGGGAGACTGAAGGGTGCGAATGAACTGGGAGAGAACTCGTGCGTGCTAATCTTGGGTCTCCATCTAAGTTAGTTTTACACAAACACCATCGTAGATCACTTATCATCTAAGTCAATTTTACAATAAACTGTTGTAGATATGTTCGTGTAGGCTATTCTACTATGGTTACTATCTAAACCGTCGTAGATTATGTTACTTTTTTTCACAAAAAATGTCACCGCGTCTTATTCTACATCATTTTTTAGTAAACCGTTTTAGATTGAGCAACTTAGATTATTCATATTGTAGTAGTGATAGTATGTTTTAGCACCCAAATTCCAAGAGTAAAAATAATTTTCTAGAAAGTATTTTTTAGAATAATAAAAATATACTTTTGGATTCTGAAAGTATATTTTAAGGATCATAAAGCACAATTTCATAATGGAACTAATAAAAAAATGTATTATTTTTACTCAATATTTTATCATAAAATCAACAAGTAATACTTCAACAATGTCTTCACAAAATTCACAACTTTGTATCCAATATATGCAATATTGAAAATAGAGTGAAAAATTAGATTTAAAATTTGTTGAAATCGAAAGTGCAAAAAAAAAAGTGTTTAAAAAGTAATAAAGATGAGGAAAGAGTATTTTAATTGTTGAAGAGAAAAATTCCAAAATAAAAGGTAAAAAAGAAGAAGAGAGATGTATGAAGTGTAATTAGAGAGTGATAAAGTATGTAAAAGAAGAAAATGAATGGAGGAATAGGGGAGTGAATGAAAAAGATAGTTTTTGAAAACAAAATTTATTTTAAAAAAGCAATGAATTAAAAGGGTTTCAAAGGAATTTTATGGAAAAAAATTTGAGAAGAAAGGTATATCTATTAGAAATGAGGGGTATATAAAACATTTGCCCCTTCAAATTATTTTTCCAAAGAGATATGATATGTTTAAATCGGACTTGAGATGAGAGACTTATGTCCAAAAAATAGTGTGGGAAGGTTTTGATGAGGTATCATTTGAAACTTTAAAGCAAGTTTTTGGCCTTAATACATCCAAACTGGAAAAAGAAACAGAAAACTTATGAGATATGCAAATGTAGTACTTTTTCTTATTTTCCAAAACACCTAAATTGTCTAAATTAGATTCATGTAACTCCAAATATCTCTTAAATAAGAGAGAAAGATTAAATACACAAAATCAAACAATTGATGATGATTGAATATCAAGCTCAATAAAATCTCACTAAATTAAAATCTAAATAAAATATTAAAATTTAGCATAAATAGAAGTTAACTAGACTAAGTATCAAACATAAATAGAGGTTTCAAGACTGATTTAGTGTAAAGTCATAAAAAAAAATAAGAAAAGGTTTATAATTTTATATTAATATTTATATTATAATATAAATATTTATTTAAATAAGTATATATAATTAAATATGTGAGACAACGGGATAGGTAATATAGTATCATACTCATCCTTATTGAATTTTGTGGGTAAATCTCCCCTTATTTCCATTGTAATATCCTATTTTTTAAAATACTATTATTATTATTATATAGTATTTGGTTAATATTATTTTATTATTATAAAGTAATATTATTTTGTACATTTTAAATAATTATTTTATACATATTAAATAAATATTTTTATTAGCATTTTAAATAATTATTTATATGTTTTAAGGGATGATTTGAAAGTTGATAAATTATATATTTTATTTTAAAATCTAAAAGGTTCATTTTATAGGAAGATAAGTTGGGTTGACCTAGGCTGGTGGTTTATTTTAAGAAAGGGGTCAATCGAAGTTAACCCTATCTGCCTCGTTTACGTTTTGAAGGATTAGGAAAGAAAGAGAGGAAAAATAAAAAGCTTTGAGAAGGAATACCCAAAAAGAGATCAAGAACAAATTCCCCTACATCAAAGTTATTTGGATTTACACAACCAAGTACGGGAGAAAATGATTT